TACAATCTGGAAATTGCTTAAACCGTTGTGGAAAATCAGCTGGTTGAGTGACAACACAAAACAAAACAAGTGCCCCAGCTAAAGCTTCATTCCCAAGCCTTTAAAAATGTCTCTGTTAACTCTACAAAGGCAAAATGAACTCATCTTCCTAAATGCCTCAAAAGGAAGGAAATAGGACCATTCTTCTCTTGGGGTGCAAATGCATCCTGCTAACAAGGGTTAGTCATCTTCTGTCACCTTCATCCTCAAACAGACTGTTCTATAGGGTGGTTTCTGTGCATTGCTGGGCAATAAACAAGCCTTCAGCATCCCACCTGGCACCCACACTGAGTAGTGGCAGAGGAAGAATTGCTCTGTAGAGTTAACTTCTTACCCATTCCTGTCTTTTAGCAGAAGAGCGTCACCCTCCTTCTTTAAATTGCATAGAAAATATTTTTTTATTTGTTCCAAACTCTCACTGAATACAAATCAGGGTAAATAGCTCTGCAATGGCTCTACAGCTAAAAGCTATTATCTATGTGTTTTGATCAGTTTTAACAGCAATGGTCTATAGACCTCAATTTCCTGTTCTGAAGTGCTAAAACTTATGAAAATAAACTCCAAGGCTTAGCAAGCACCCTTTAATCAAATAAAATTGTCAGTATGAATCTACCTATGCTAGCATAACCTTATAAAAATATTTGATAGCAGCTTTTTGCACTGTGAAACCCAAAACTCCAGTACACTACAAATTTTGCAGGATAAATTTGATACATCAGTGGTGTTTTGTGGGGTTTTTTCCTTATTTACATAATTTTTCTTCTTTTCTGTCTGTTTTACAGTGTTTTCTCGTCCTTCTCTCTGTAATCCTCACCATTTTAATTATCTGTGTGTTTTATAAAATCATGTCTAATTAGAAAATTTTAAATTCCTCATTACAGCACATTCTCATGCAGAACTTGAAATAGGAATGATTATGAACTGTTTCAATAAGCACCAGCTTTGCACTCTTTAGAAGATTGGAATTGTTGTTTATATCTGTATGCACATTAGTTTACCTCAAGATGTGCTAGATTACATTAATTATCTTTGCATCTGCAACAGAGAACATCCATGATCGATGCCAACCTCATTCCTCAGAATTTTTGAAAAGTTTTGTGGGTTTTTTTTCTTGACAACGTGTTTTTGCCGTACAGGGAAATTTAAAAGGGATGGACAGAGCTTGCTGCTGGAATCTGCAAGACCACTGTGTTTCATTGTGCTGCAGACTAATTGTAAATACATTTACCTTTTTATAAGGTGGGTGAAAAAGTCTGATTTTGCAACTAGCTGTACTTTTATAACATTTCAATCCTGATCTGTCTCAAAAGCAGGCAGATTTATTGCAGCAGTGTCTCCATGTGGACTTCTACCAAAACAAACGTGACCAACTGAATTTTGGCTCCAGTTTTGATGCAAACAAATCCTTACTAAGCAAAATACAAATAAATGGTTTAAACAGTTTTTAACCAAAGTGGTTTAAGTAGGAATTTAGAGAAAATAACTGGCAGCCAGTATCTGGAATTAGCCTTCTGGAGCCTGTGCTCAGTCCCTGCCTGCTTAGTTCAGGCTGTACAAATCCCTGAAGCTCCTGTTATCAGAGGCAGCATTTCTCTTATATACACAGATCAGCTCATGTAAGGACATGGTTTTCACAGTCTTGGTATAAGTCTTCACAGCACTTGGTGGAAGTCTATAAACAGGCTGAAGATACAAGGAAAAAAATGTTCTTTACAGCTCATGAGAGTAAGCATATCTTTTCAGCTCCTTCTGCCTGTGGCCAGAAACAAAGGTACTGCATCAAGATGTCAAAATATTTTTCTTTCCTATTGTTGGGCAAAATTTTTATAGTGCAGATTGAACCAGTACTGATCATCCTGTTGAAACAAATTGGATAAATTATAAAGGAACTTGCTGCTTATAGGATCCAAGAGTACAGCAATGTAAACCCTAGTCAGCACTGAAGAACTTATTTAAATAATTTTACTGTATTTGCTTTTTTTGTGAAAGTCTGCATTCAGACTGTAATTCCACAATATTTATTTGTTATTCAAAGCAATTTGATGAATAATTCTGTAATAATTGTCTCAGCTTATTGTGAATATTCAGGATTTGAAACATGAACTGTGATTGCTCTCCTAAATCAAATGCTGTTTTATTATTCCTGCAGTGAATGACAGTCTTAGAATCAAGTGAATGACTGGGGGAAAAAGAAAGGGAAAGAAGAGAATTAAACTTGAATATTATTCAGAATTTGCATAAATTAACTCTTGTGGTGGGCACTCCTGCCATGACAAAAGCAAGCTTGTTTATGAGAAGCAAGCATAAATGGCAGGCATATTGTTAAAATGCATTTGTTCAGCAATAGTGCATGTAACCCGGAATTATACTGCTTGTTTATTTATTAGCTAAGGCCTAAAATTTGGTGGGAAATAAAAAGGGGAAAAGACAAGTAACAGGTCTGAGGAGGCATTTAAAAAAACATTCTTGAATCCTCTGTACAGTTAAAATTAGTTTAGATATTTCCCTCAGGCTCTGGAAAACATTACAACATTGAACTCAGGAATTTTGGTGATTTATGCAAATGGACACATATACACACTCTAAATGCAATGACCTCAGAGGCAGAAGCTCCTGTTTGGCTGATCTTTGCCTCCTGTTTGTTAAATTTCTAATTCCTGCATGCTTCTGCAGCAAGCCTTCCACTATTTTCTGGATGACTGAAAACTGAAGCTTGGCTGATCTCTCTTGAGCTTGGCCTGTGAGCTGTGATGTGCTGATGCTTGAGGGTGCAGCTGCCACCGCTGCAGCCCCAGAAGTGCTTCTGCTGGGTGGGCACCAGGCTTAGGCCAGCCTCCCACCACCCTCTGCCCTGGGGAGGAAACCAACTGCATCTGTGCGTCCTTCAACATTCCTGGGCTGCGCCAGAAGAAGCACAGTCTGGTGGTTTAACTCTGGCTGGATGCCAGGGACCCACCAAAGGTGCTCTGTCTCTCCCCTCCTCAGCTGGAGAAGTGAGAGGAAACGTAACAAAAGGTCCATGAGTTGAGGTGAGGGCAGGGAGGGATCACTCACTGTTTACTGGCATGGGCAAAAACTTGGGGAAATTAATGAAACTCATTATGAATCAAAACAGGAAAATGAGAATTAAAACGCACCTTAAAACCACCTACACACGACCAGCACATTGAGGGAGATGATAAACCTCCTCTATTCTGCTTTTGCAAGGCCCCACTTGGAGTAATTTGTCCAGCTCTGGGGCAACCAACATGAGAAGGATGTGAACCTGTTGGAGCAAGTTCAGAGAAGGGCCATGAAGATGATGAGAGGGATGGAACACCTCTCTTATGAGGACAGGCTGGCAGAGTTGGGGCTGCTCAGCCTGGAGAAGAGGCTCTGGCTTTTCTAGTACCTTCCAGGACCTAAAGGGGCTATGAGACAACAGGAGAGGGACATTCTACAATACCATGTAGTGATGACACAAGAGAAAATGGCTTTAATCTGGCAGAGGGTAGGTTTATATTAGATATTTGGAAAAAATTGTTTGCTGTGAGGGTCTTGAATACACACAGAGCAGGCAGTGAGCAGGGGGGTGGATTACAGGAGATGATGGCTGTCAGGATCTCATGGAAGCCTATGAGACCAGAGTTGTGCAAAACGTGCTGCAGACTGGATGTGGCCCAGGAGTTTTTGCACACAAAGCCTCATATGCTTTCAGAGCATATTAAGGCAAACAGCCTTCTCACAGTTTAGATGTGATTTATGGTCAAAATGATGAGAGCTACAGAAAAGGTATGACCAGGTAGCAAGTCCCTGCAGCAAACCAGTGACTCTGGGACTGCTGAGGACACAGAGACTGAAGAAACATCTCTGACAGCCTTTAAAATGTGTTACATGATGGTGCTTGTGACCCTGCCTTTGCCCCAGGCTATGCTATAGCTGCTAGAATTTCAAATCTCTTTCAGTGAGTGGTATGGGCAAAGAAAAGAAATAAATAGGTTTGGACATTATACATTTTCCATTTGGGGAAAGTTAACTTTCCTCAACTTTTTTTCCCCTATGCTTTATTTTCTTTCTTTTCCTTTTAATATTTGAAAGCATTATTTTTTCACATTTAAAAAGTCATGTAATTTCTGCTATCTCAGGTTATAGAATCCCAATGGCTTAAAATGGCTTCATCTGTTAAGGATGGAGACTACCACTTTGTCATCAAAGCCTGATAATATTCAAATATTTCAATTTTTCACACACACACACACAAATGGGCATCCACATTTTTAAGCATATTTTATTAAGACAACACCGACTTTGAAATTGAAGGTCAAAGTTTTTCTGTTAAAAGCCAGGAGAGTGACACAACCAACATGATGAAAACACAGCATATCTTGTACCATGCTCTGATTTAATCCTGCTCCTTTTATACACACCTTTGGGTTTGGTTACATTAAGTGTTGATAGATTTGTGTGGAGAAGGGGGCAGGAGGCTGGAAGGAGTGTTTTTTTCATTTTAACAATAATATCCTTCTTCCATAAAAGATATGAAGCAGAAGACTGAACAGAAAATCTAGCTATTTTATTGCCCCAAGGCATTATTCATTTTCCTGACACATTATGTTTTTAATTAAAATTGCACATGAGTTAATTAAAATGTTCATTCAGCTTTTTATTTTTTTTTCTTGCATGGGTGCCTTGTTACTCTCCTAGCATTTCAGTAGAAGGCCATTACATTTCAACAAACTGCTGGCTTTATCAGCTCAGACTTCTACTGACAGACTGTCATGTTTGCTACACCTTTTTATCTCAGATGTTCTAATTTTTTTAAGTACCTTCTCCAGTCTGGGGGCTTGTAGGTTGTTTTTTTTTTTAATATTGTTGTTATTATTATTATTATTATTATTATTATTATTATTATTATTATTATTATTATTATTATTACAACTACTACTACTACTACTATTACTATTACTATTATTACTATTATTCCAGCACCTTCCACTAGTGGTTTGAGCTCAGGTTTCTTAAGGAGACATTGTCAGGAACGGGCAGGAAGGTGAACAAGAACCTGTGAACACTGTCATCGCTCACTCTTATGGAACCTGCTCAGATTAAACTGCAATACAAGTGCACTGCAACACCAGTGCACAGTACCTTGGGAGCAACACTGAAGAAAAGGGGCATTCAGAGAAAGTAATCATCAGAATCCTGCAGACACCTAACTTAGACTGACCTATGTGGAATCCTTCAGATTTATAGGTTACAGGCACTGAATTTTTGATCACTGCTTCGGAAAAAGGAAATTCTAGAAGATAGACACAGACTTTTGTCCATCTTGTCTAGTCTTAAGCTCTATTTTTAAAAGGTATAGCAGGAATTAAACTGTTTGAGAAAGTGTTTCTTTTTAAGCTTTTTTTGGTATATTAGGAAGGGCAAGAAAGATTTCTTAGGCTGTGGACTAGCAAAAACTGCTTTACTCAGTTCTCAAGGAACCTGTTTCTACACTAAAAATTTCTAAGTCATGGGTGGAAGTCTGTCCTGTTTCCTTTGTGCTGGCTACATAGCATAGTGAAATGCAGTTATTTCCCCCAACCAGATTCACCAGTGCTGACTCTGGGAATGTAGGAAGAGTTCTGTGTCCCAGGTGTCAACCAGCTCCTAGAAAGGAACAGATTTCACAGATGGATCATCTCTGCTTTCCACAGAGGTTGTAAACATACACGGTGCACTTGTTAAATTCACCCTTATTGAGCGTCACAAGTCAGAAACACATACAAGGCCAATAAACCATAGCCAGGGTAAAAGGTAGAAGGCATGTCAAACAAATGTTTTCTGAAGAGGTGTACAGCAAGCTGTTGTGCCTTTGCTGAAGTCTTCAAAGCCTGCAGAAACACATTGATGTTTGTAACTAACACCTTGCATGCTGGCTGCTGCAGTGGCAGGTGCCTGGACAAAACAGAGCCTTTGAGAAAAGATTTATGTTGTGTGCAAGTGCCACACATGCATTCTAACAGCAACACTGAAGCCAAGTTTGAAAATCAGACCTCAAAGCAACACCTCCCATAACTCAAACAGAGAAGGAGGGATGGGCTATGGGGTTCAAACTTTGGGCTCAGCTAATATGCATTAGTGCCATTTGCTTTTTTCACACAGCATGAGTTAAGGACAGGCTGTCAGCTGTAACTTTGAGCTTCCTGGATGCTGTCAGCTCTTTTCACAACCTTCATATTACTGAAGTGAAGCTTTTTACATTTTATTCTTTGACTTCTTGTTGTAGTCTTCATGAGAATAATGTGATTTCAGGGAAAGTGTTGAAAGGTTTGAATGTGGTAACTAAACATTTACAAAAGATCTTTAGCCTGAAATATGTAAATATATTTCTCTCAATGGTTCAGATAGCAGTGTTTAATTTTGCAGAAAAAATTGCAAAGTTTTTTTAAATATTTTATACTGAATTTATGCTCTGATGAAAAGCCCTTCAATTCAGGAAGTAGAAGAAATTATTTATTTTTAAAACTGTCTTAATATGGCATTTAGATATCTTGCAAAGGGTGTGAAAGATAAGGTTACCAGTCAGGAATAATGTTTTACAACATCATTACCCTGATATCACCCAAAGCAGCTTTCTTTGAATCATTTCATTTGGTATATATCTATATTTTGATTCAAATAATACCCTCCTTGGTTATACTAATATTGCTGTGTGATGTTTACTTAGGCATCAAGAGTAACTTCACTGAAACTCAGCACTAAACCCTATTGGTTTCTTAAAGGTCCTTTAGTTTAAAATACACCTTGTTATTTTGTGTTGCAAGAGACTATACTTAGTTCACAGCTTATTAAAAATTTGCTCCTTTATTACTTTATATTATCTATAAATTGAGTAGGAAAAACCCCCAAAAGGCACAGACATGAGAAACCTTGAATACTCTCAGGGCTCCATAATTTAAGAAGGATGTAAAGGTTCTTGAATGAGCCCAGAGAAGGTCAGCCAAGCTGGTGTGAGGACTGAAAGGGTGTGAGGAGCAGTTAAGACTTTGGGTTTTTCTGCTTTGGAGGACAAAAGGAGGCTGAGGGGTGGCTCTCTCCAGCTTCCTGAGGAGGGGAAGGGAAGAGCAGGGTGTGGATCCCTTTTTTCAGCGAGAGAACACATGGGAATGGTTCAAGGCTGCACATGGGGAGGGTCAGGCTGGACACTGGAGGCATTTCTTTGCTGAGAGGATGGTCAGACATTGGAATAGGCTTCCTAGGGAGGTGGTCAATGCCCCAAGTCTGTATTCATGGCATTTCCATTTTCCACTACTTTCTGACTTGTGCAGTAGAGGTGTTTTTTTTCTTTCCTGTGTCTATTACCTACTTTTACTGCAGTCTTCTGATCCTAGTAAATCCCTAGCCCATGACAGACCAAATGCCCGTCCCTACCACAGACAACTGTGTCAAAGTCTTACAAATTTGTGTCAGTAAAATTCAAACATGTGTTAAGTTGCATTATTTTTACCAAACTGTTAATTTAGGAATAATAAAATGTTTTAAAGGTATACTGGAGCAAACAAAAGTGGTTTTTTTTCATAATTTTTAAACACAAATTTGAGTTTGTGGGTTTGTAAAAATTAGTTCTTGGTTTAAAATTTTTTTTAACATCAGTGAAAACAAAGGTTTTATCCCACAATTTTTGTAATAGTTCATCATGCTAACAACATATCAGAAACACTGGTTTTGAAATGGCCTGGAACATTGTTCCAACATTTTAAAGGGACTCTAAAATTTTAAAAAAAGTCCTTTTTATCCTTATTTTTACACCCTGTAATCTGTGTACCTTGAACTTCCCACACAGCATCAACCTTTTGTGCTTTCATGTAGGAAAAGTCAACGTTTAATCATAAAAGGGTTTGAGAATCTATATTAAGAATACAATCTAACTTGGTAGCTGCTGTTTGAGATCCTGCACGCTATGAATTTCATACAGTAGAAATTAAAATCTGGTATAATTTCATGACCCATATCACCTTCCTTCTCACAGATTCCAACAGTGTGAAGTTATTTCCATAAAGAAATGTGGGGATATTGTAGGAAACAAACTGGATTTACCAACAGTTCAAAGCTGTGGTGAATATTACGTTTAAAGCCAACTCCTCTTATTATAGATACGTTTAACACTTCCTGAAAATTCCCTTCAAAAAAGTAACAGTAATTTTCATCAGCTCTGGGAAAAGAGTCATCAAGTATCTCCAGGTGTAATGTATTTTTAGTAGAACCACCCAAACTGTTAGCCACAGTTGTGAACTGCGCTGAGGAAGTCTCTCAGCGCTGCGGTGGCAAGCTATCTGCCCACAGGCAGTTTCAGTGCTCCAGATAGAGGTGCAAGACCTTAAAAAAAATCTTAAGCCATGCCATAAACAGGAAGCCTTTTTAAAAATCATTTTCCCCAGTTTGGAAAAGGATGGAATAATAGAAAGAGAAACAAACTGTTCTGAGAAAGGAGCAGCCTAAGGAGACTGGCTTTGCTGCAGGTCATTGGTCCTCCCCTGCTCTACCTCTCCTTTTCTCACATGGGCTCTTACCTAATTCTGGCCCTGCAGAAGCCTCTGGCCATTTCTCTACTCACTCTCAGTCTCCCTCACTCCCTTAATGCTTTCCTAGAAATTCCCAGGAAGTTATTTCCAATAATCATCTAATTTCCTGCATGAAGCAGCACAGGATGCCCCAAGACTCCCATCATCTTGCATGACCACTTTTAGCCTGCTCAGACTTGTAAAGTCCTGCTGCTCTCTGCCCTTGTAGACACAGAGGTTAACAGACACTAAGCAAGTTTTCTTAATTGTCAAACTCCAGCCATTTAATTCCTGGGAAAAAAGGATTTCTAAGAAGGATATTAACAGCCCTCTCACATTTTCCCCCATTAAGGGGCAGAACTGAGATGAGAAGAAACTCCAGACTGGCCCCAAAAGCTGAGCTCTGTCAGAACAGATTCCTTTCAGAGAAAGTTTCCTCCCCTAGAAATATAGGAGAGCAAGCAAGCAAACAAATAAAACTGCAGCCACCTTGGACACGTTTCCTGCATGCTCACAGATCATCCTGCCCAAGCACAGCAGTGTTGACGGCCCCTGGCCAGGCCAGGCAACACCATCCAGACCTCCTGGAAATGCAGCAGGTGGTAACCTCTGCAAGGGAGATAAAGACTTGGAAATGGCAGTGATTTGTACCCTATGGAGATAACGCAGACTCACTGCTAAGAATGTATTTGGGCTTTTTCTCTATTTGTTCACTCACCTTGAGTAAAGCCATTTGGGGGGCTTTTTGTTTGCTTTTTTCTTTTTATTGCTTTCATTCATCTGCATCATTCAAAACTAAAGCCTTGCTAGGAATGAAAATACAGAGCTGAAAGCATTTTTTTTTTCTATGCACAGAGTGACAGAGCCACTGTGCAGACTTGCAGCTATTTCTACCTATATGAAGATGCATCAGGACCAAAGGAGAGCTGTCACCCCATAAACTCTCAAGCTGTCAGTACAAATGGGTTTGCTTCTATACTTAGAGAATTTGGGGTTTCTGTGTATGTATTTTCATCTTTTAAGTTCTGAATAAATGTGGATGGTCTCAGACAAGTAGAGAAATAGGACAATTAAATATCTGGTTTGCTGTTCTAAATTTCACTATGTATAGTTTTAAGGCCTTGCTGCATTTCTTACTCCCATCTATCCCCCCACTCTCCTCAGTAGGTGTGGATAGCAGGTTTACTCACTGACTTGCCAGTTGTATATGTTCAACAGCTCTAACTCAATGACATCACTTATTAGGGAGATAAATGAGGGCAATTAAGCATCATGGCCATAACTGGTGAAACTTTCTGCAATGAGAGCATTATTAAAATGACAGAGTGCTTGTCTGTGCCTGCCCAAGGTGTATGATTCAGCCTCTCTCCTTTGCCTGGTAAAGTGACCCCCAGCAGCACTTCTCACATGCATTGTTTCTACAGGGCTATATATCACCTCTCATGTAAACTGGCAACGTTTATTGATTGATGCCCATTTCATTTTTAACAGCCATCTTCTTCTATGTTATTTAGAGTTAAACAGGGCAGCTGATAAACATTACAATTTAGTTCATGTTTGTTAAACTACTCACTTAAATAACCTCCTCAGATGCTGATAAATGGCACCTTCAGAAAGAATAGCTGTTACTTTTTTGCATAATATACTGGTGTTTAAGGCTTTTAATAGTATATCATACACACAGCCTTGCTCTGTCATTCAAAAGCCAAATGACATTTTATTAAAATATTTCTTTTTAATCCTGTTTGGCTAATGTTTCCAACAATTTTTTAATACCGGATTTGAGCAAAGGAGGGAAATTGCCATGAGAAGTGGAAAGTCCATTTTGAAAAAACAGAAACTAGGTTTCAAGTTAATGCTTGTTTTCCTTAAAAATTATGTTCTCTGCTTTGGGCAGAAATGTGGCTATATAGATCTAGAAAAATAAGACCATTGCAGGAAAAAGAAACAAGTACGAGTAATACACGGAGAGAGGTAAAGATGGTCAAATATAGTCTGAAGAAGGAAGAAAAAAAAAAGCAGAGAGAGAGAACAAAACCTAAACATAAAAAAAAATTATGATGCAATGAGAAAACACAAACTAGACAGGGCGCTCCCAGTAGCACCAGTGACTGACATACAGGACTGAGCTATGGGACAGCATCCTTACCAGTCTGGGGCATCCCTACCTCTTCTGCCTTCCTGCAGGAGGGATGTGATCTGCATCCTCGTGCCAGAAAACTCCACCATCTCACAGGGGGGATGATTCCAGCATGGGAGCCCTGTAGGATTTCTTGGGAGCCCTGCAGACATGCTAGGCATGTATGGAACACACACAAAATGCATATAGATGAAGCAGCTGTGATGGCAGATCCTTGTCCGTTTGAAATGTCATAAAGTAAATGTATTGCACAGGCTGTGATGTGGCTGGCAAGAAAATGGAGATGATGTCCCTCCACTCTTGGAGCGAAATGTTTCATTTTATAGAGCGCATGATTTACCTGTGCTTTGTATCCTAGCTCACACTGCCCAGAGCACAGTGCCCAGAAGGCTGTTTCCAACACAGCTCCATCGCCAGGAACATCAGGGAGGGTGGAATGGGAGCCAGGAGCAGTGGGGGAGTGCAAGCTGAGGCCAGCTGCACCCTGGCCCCCAGGAGCTGCCCAGGAGAGGAAACCTGAAGCAAAGCATCACTTCTGAGGACTCTCTTCCAGGTGTGTGAAGAGGGATATAACCCTGGGGTCGAAAAACAGGGAAGAAAAAGAGACAAATGAAGGCTGGGTTTGAAAACAGACAGGCACCTACCTTAGAAATATTTTGCAGACATGTTCAGCAGAATTTAGAGCAGCCGTCCTCTTCCTCTGAATTGTTGCTCTGTTTCCTAGATGCTAGGAGACTTTGTATGCATTTATTGCCATTCTTTGCATCCCTGCCACGTTTGTTACAGTGGCAAGCCTATGGAATTACGCTGCAGAGAAAGATGAAAATGAGTTAATAATTTATCTTTTAGGCTGATCTTTAAATGTTGTTTCACAGAGTTGAAAGGTGCCAAAAATTAAGGAGAAAAATACAAAGGGACTCAAGGGAGAGGAGGTGGGTTCAGACTGTGACAGGAGGCACAGAAGGCAATGGGATAGGGGCAGCTAAAGTGTCTGAAATAAAGAATTTATTTTCATGTGCTCAAGAATGTGCCTAAATTATGAGAAGGATAATGGTAAAACAAACAGAAAGTTAAGAACCATCATAAGGAATACAAGAATAACCATGCCACATCAGACCAATTGCCCATCTAGTTGGCTTCTTACATGTCACAGCAAGGTTTAAAAATGCATATTAAGTCATCTCCTGCACTGGAAATAATGGGCTAGCCAAAATGATCAGTCAGTCACTGTAGCTCCTTCTTTAAGATAGTAGTGCTCATACTGTTAGAAAATAATTTATTCTAATGTAATGTGACTGAATGCTCTCAATAAGCACAGAAATATTTTATACTCTTACTTAATCCTGCTGATGTTTGGCTCAGTGATATCTATGAAAGGTGTTACATTAGTTAATAAGGAGTTACATACAGACAACATTAAACATTTAACTTTGATCACTGTTAAACTATCTGCAATTCAGGTTCATTTATTGCTCCAATTTTATACTTTTGAGGAAAAGTATAGAAATAAATATTTTTTTAAAGACTGGACCAGATGTGTTTGTGGGGACAATGTTGCTTCTCTAACCTCCACTTTTTGCTTACCACCCCAATAGTCATCTTTCTCCTCAATAAGCCAGAACCTCTTTGCTGTCCATGGTCAACAGATTTCTTTGCTGCTGACTTCAGCCAAATAACAAAGCCAACTCAACACTTATGTTTCTTGACAGGAGAAAACCAAGAGGGTAGTGGTTGTTGCCATTGTTATTTCATTGAGGATGCTATTCATATTTACCATATGGTGCTATAAAAATGCAGAACCCCATAATATGTATCTTTATTGTTTCCTACATGAGATGATACACTGGGAAAAAAATGTATTCTTCAATGAATACATACAGCAAATATACATGTTTTGTGTTTCCCCAAATCTGTGGCTTTGGATCAGACAGCCTCTGTCACTCAATGAAAACAGTATCATGATGTCATAGGTTAACAGAATAGCAAAGAAAATCTGTTTAGGGAGAAATAGAACATATACATTATTTTAAGTTTGTAAGAAAGTTGTCACCCGTTTACTTCTATCACACCTTTAACCTTGGATGGTACCTGCTACGTCTCACTTGACCTGCACTATAGAGGAGTTCCTGCTCCCCAAAATCTGATGAAGTTTCATCTTTCACCTGTGAAAAAAATGAAATTAGCTATATAGATGCTAAAGGATAGATACTACACTAAGTGCCCAGCTTTAAACTGGCACAGTAGATAATGGGACCATTTCTCATATGGACATCCTTCAGCTGAAGGTTTTATTCTTATTCCTATAAAAGGAAAAAAAAAAGTTTGGATTATTCTATTTCAGAAACAGATTAATAATTCAAGCCCAGGATACGTAGATCTCACAACAAATTATAGCACAGATTATTTCATAGGGAGTTTATTCAATAACAAAATATAATATTCTAGTACCAAGCCATCACTTTATCACATACATTTTTCTATGCAGTTAGAATTTGCCCTGTGCATTTAAAATTGTCCTGCACAGTGAATAGATTTTCATTAAAATATTTATTTTAAATCTTATATTTTCTCAGGAGCAATGAGGAGAGGTGGGTGTCACATTTTGCATTTCACCTGCATCCTTTTGCATTTTGATGTAAGGCAGCAGAATGCCTGCTACTATTTAATTAAACAGGAATCTGGATTAACTCCAGCTGTGGGCCGTGTAATCAGGCCTTGTGAGTGTGTTCAAAAAGGGGTGTTTTCCCTGGCTCATATTTCATTCCTGCATGGAAATCTGCTCTCACTCAAACCTGTCCACATGCTGCAGTAAATGATTTTCTCTCCCTTCTGAATCATTTGCTTAGGCACCCCCACTACAGTTCTTTGAAAAGAAACAAAAAGGCACAAACAGCTTGACTGGTCCACTTACACTAACTACTATCTAATGACGAGAGGCTTTGCTTGTTCATGTATAAATCTACCATTTATTCGAGTTTATACCATAATGACTGTAAGATCTATTAAATTGTTTTGTGCAGATTTATGTTATTCTCTCCAGATGATGACAATTTAATTGCTGTTGCCCATGGCTTAAGATGAGCTCAATTCTCAGAAGTAAATTTACCTTTCCTTGAACATGCATATCACCATCATGGATGACAAACACACTTCTGATTCTTTCTACTTCTCTAAGTACTTTTGCTGCCATTCAAAATGATAAATCATACATAAAATAAACATGATAAATCTGGTTGAAACTACAAATTTTTTTTGTCCTAATAGAGGTCAATGATCCCAAACCCATGTATATATTTTGAGAAGAGTTTACCCCATCTATGAATATCAACACGTTCAAGTCTAAGTATAAATGAGAGACAGTGAAAATGTGTGTATAAATTCATGAACTGGCACATCCATGAGAGTTTGTAATCATATTTTATTTTCAATAGTCTTTTCTGAGTATGCACTTTGCCTCTTTAGATGTCATCATTGATCTATGGTGGTGCTTTTGACAGAATATATCTCAACCAACATAAGAGACAATTGTCAAATAGATGTTGCTCATTGTTCATTTCCATAGGCTGGACATCTTTTTGTGGTAATTTGATATGGCAAGTTTTCTCAAGCTATCAGCAGAGATTCAGACTACAGATGATAATGAAAACTAAATCAGAGTTCATCATGCATAAAAGATTCTGAAACTTTGAATTTTTTAAATTTTGTAGCTTGTGTGGAGGTTACAGATGGGTAAACTCAAAAACGTTTGGCCTTACCACAATATTAGATTTGCTGGCCAAACATCACCTGCCAAAACAAACTAGAAATAAATGGCTCTCCATTTTCAGCAGAACAGAGCCATTTTCCCTCCCTTTTTTATTTCTATTTTAGTCTTTCTTCCAATCCACCAGCATGAAAACACTGTTGAATGTAATTCTGGAAAATACATCCAAATATTTTAGACTTTCCGATAAATTTTCTCAAGGAGATTGGAAGTGGCAATTTTGATCACTACAGATTGCATATTTGAGTTATACAGAGTCTTACAGAGACAAATAGTTGCATGTGGCAGGATGTTTCTTTGTCCGCCATATAGTCCTATAGTCATTCTCTGGGGAAAGAGAAATTTTAGATCTCACTTTCTTTCTGTCCTAGGGATTTTTTTTTAATTGAAGGAGCAAAATTAGTCTACATTTTCTTTTTTGTCTTCAGAATGTTATCTAATTTATTATCTAATCGTGTTCTTCACTGCTTTTCCACCTACCCTTCATGCCAGTCCTTACAAAAACAAACTAGAATTGCAGTACTTGTATCTATAATGTTTCTCGTCAAGACAGTGGGTGAGGAAGTTTTAATGTCAGTCCTAGAATATTCTCTGATGAGATTCTAATTAAGTTGCCAGTATAGAGAAAATTAGAAAATCACAGCAGTTTAAAGCTTAACCTTCAAGGAAGCTTGAGCAGATATGAATAACACTGTTTCTGAAGGATGGCGTGAGTGCAGTTGCAGGCGCTAATGTGAAGCGATGCATGTTCAGTACATCATCTTTCCACACTGTTAAGTGGAGCAAGTCATAGTGCAAGTGTATGTTTAAGTCCTTGAGGATGTAAGATATACTCTCATTCTTGAACGAAATGGTAGTGACCAAGGTAGTTTAAATTAAACCATACGGTCAAGAGTATTCTCTGTTCTTCTTATTTCTGCTTCCAATCCAGGTCACCTACATCATTTCACTGTTCCCAGTTCTCACCTGCCATAAATAACCAGATAAGTTTGTATGACATCTGAATTTTTGCAGCAAACTCAGATTTATGATTACACATATATCCAGTTTCTCATTCTGGATGGAGAGCTGCTTGTCTCAGATTTTATATTATGTTCACGATTCTAATATTTAATTGCATATATATACGTAATGCAGCAACTGCATATATGCTTACATTCCACTCATTTGGAGATCAGGAAAGCAAAGTGAAAAACTGCTCATACACACATTTTTATGTACTATCCTTTTATCTTTCTTCTGACTGAATAAACACAGGGACTGCTCTGTGCAGATATATTTCAGCAATAACTTGCAGCTTTAACAACATTCCAGATTTTTGCTTCCTCCTCTCTTTCTAATACTGCTGTGCTTTTCAGCCTCAAAGACAGCACAAGTCAGCCAGGCAATCCTGTGACAAACTCCACTAAGGACTTCACAGTTAACAAAACAATGAATGAAACATCATTCTGGCACACAGAACAGCTTTCTGCTGTCTTCTGCCGCCTTTGATTTTTTTTTTCCCCAAGTGGAAAAGCAACTTCAAAAACAAGGTGCTGTCATTTTAGCAAAGGAGAATTAGGACTGTGAAAGGATGAAGTGTCCTTGCACAGAAAGACTGCAGCTAAAATTGTATCAATATTCCTGTTATAAACTGATAAACACAGAGCTCCGTGAGGTCAAGTTGTACATGCTTGAGCTGACATGCCAATCTGCCAGCAGTCATATGGTTCTCATATGGCGACACGCCACAGATGCCAGGAAAATGTGAGAAGTTTCTGGCTCATTTCATTTCACTCTCCTGAATGCCATGTTTGCCTGCACACACACACACACACACACACACACACACACATACACACACACAGAGTAGATTTTCTGTTTTAAATAGAGCTATTGTAGCCCATGTATTCCTATTTTCTTAAAAGGCTTTGCAATAACTCACCCAAGCTGATTCCTGAGACTTCATAGCAAGACTTGTCTTGGAAATGAGAGCAGGTTTGTTGTTTTCTTTTTTGGTGTTTTTTTTTTTTTTTTTTTGCAAGCCTTCAAAACACTCCTCTAGCCATTTTTAAATGACATCAAAAGACAGAATTAGAAAAAGAGACAGACAAGATAACAACACATCATATGTGGATGATTTATAATATACATTTAGGGAAAGAAATCTGAAAAGTTTCAGTCGTCTCAGAACATGACTTCTTCCATTCTCTAACAACATTAAAACAGCTCTTATTAATGCCTGAACAGCAGCAAGTATTTCTTTCTTTCGTTCTGTTTCTTCAATGTGCATTTTTGTATCAACAGTATAATGCCTCTGTCACATGGACTGACATGATAGTACATTAACAATTGTCTATATTCATATTTGGTAAATAGACCACAATTATTCATTGAGTATATAATGCACAATTTACAATTTGTTGAAATATGTATTTCCACATCAGACCATCTTTCAAGCTTTTACAGTCTTTTGTGTCAGGTTCAATTGTCTTCAAGAGGAATTGTTTTCCTTTTCTTTCTTTTAAACTGTTACTAAAGGGAAAAGGCTGAGACAAATATAACTACAGTTATTTTTAATGAAAAGGCTTTCTTGTATGACTGAGAGCATGCACTTCACCCTTCCCTCACCAAATCCAGATACTGTCATTTTAAATGAACGTAATTTAAAATTTTAATGCAAAAACATAAACTGGACTTAGGCTTAAAATGTGAAAGAGGAAAAATGCACAAAATGTGTGTATGTGTGTACATGTGTGTATGCACATGTTGCATCCACACATGCAACTGCGCAAGAAATGGTGATTTCTCCATGCAGGACCAAGTTTGAAGATAGCACACCTCTGGCACCTCACCTCTGGTCAGAAATCTCTCTCTTCAAGAACATTAAAAATACAACATTTCTGGCAGCTTCAAACACATGAGTCTACAGGAAAGTAATTTTTTTCTTTTCTGGTATTAAGTTTTGCCTCCTTAGGCTCACACTTTATAAAAGTTTGAGATAAGGATTCTGAATCAGGAGCAGGCAATAACTTTCTCATGTATAAATAGGCAGGATTTGGTGCTATTACCCCCTAAATTTATAAAACCAAGAACAAGAAATAACAGAAAAATTCACCTTGCTGTGAAGATCTGTGCATGTCAAAAAATATATTTAGATTTTTTTTTACTTCCATTTACACATCACTTTGAAATCAAGGGAGAAAGGTCAGCTCAGACAGTAGCCTAACTTTGAGGAAAACCAGTTTTGAGTCCTAGCTTAACCTGCACAATTCTGTTCCTAAATCTTTAATTAAAGTACTGCCCCTCATCCCTTTCCTTAAACCTGTTATGTTTTTGCATTTGACCTCTAAATGTAGGGAACCAGGAATGCTTCTGATCTTGTGGGTTCAAACGAATGTCCTTTCTACATCCTGATGCTGGAGAGATGCTCATATTGCTGTCTCCAGTGCCCTGAGTTTCATGGGAAAGTGAGAGCAGCTGCCAGTGCGAGCACAGCTGGGCTCTGGTGAGGTCCCACG